AGAACAAATGACTGCTGAAGGGGGCGGCGGATATTTGCTCCGACCTAGCTCCGGGACGGGTCCGATACTTGGCAGTGTTGTAACATCGTTACAGTGGGGACGTTAAATAGTTATACATTTTCGACGCCGATATGCTCGCCACAAACTCCTAATTACCATGCAACATCAATAATCGCGTTTGCCCAAATTTGATGGCAAATGGCGCCAAGTTACTAGTATTTTTGTCGACCAAGTGTTGGCTTCCAGTCCAGAGGATGCGTCTCTTCCGTTGCAGTCTCATCCTGTTTCCAAATCTTGATCGACTTGTCTGACTCGCCAGTGATAAGACGAAGACCCGATGCATCGAATGTAGAGCACATGACTCCGGCTTCTGCTTCAAGAGAACCAGGTTGGGCAATACTCTCAGTGTGCTGGAAGCGATGACCAGTCTTCCAGTCGTAGAAGGAGACTTCGCCGTTGTCGCTACCGGCGAACATCATGTTGTTTTCGTTAACCGAAAGCGTATTGATGATGCTGTTTACGGGGGAGAAGTTCTGCATGAAGTCTCCGTTGGGACATAGCCACTGTTTCGCGGATTGTGCAGAACCAGAGGCGAAGGTAAATTCTGTGGGATGTATGGCAAGAGCGCGGACAGACTTTTTGTGGTGAGTCAATACAGTTCGGGTCTTTCCTGCCACAAGGTCCCACAGCCGGATTGTGCTGTCCATGCTTCCGGATATTACTTGTGGCTCAGCTTCTTGACACTGGATTGACGAAATTGTTCCTTTGTGACCACCGAGGACGTGGATATTGCTGCGTGAGCGCATGTCCCATACACGTACTACGCCATCTCGTCCTCCTGTGCACAACACATCCACTGTCGGGTGAAGCGAAAGCGAGTAGACTCCGCTCAGATGGCCGTGGTAATGTCGAATTACCTTGTTGGTTTCGAGGTCCCAGCATTTGACCATCTTATCTTCTCCGCAGGAGAAAAGATAGGGGTGTCTTGGGCTTACTGCAAGGCCTCTGACTGCCGAGATGTGCCCCGTTAGGGTGATTTTCAACCGGCCGCTCGCAAGGTCCCAGAGCTTGATGGTGCGGTCTGCTGCGCCAGTAGCAAACCACTCGTTCCCAGGCTCCATGGCCACCGATCGCACCTATACCAAGTTAGTCCTTGTTATTCCTGTAGGCAATTGAAATATACTCACCCATCCCATGTGTCCGCTAATGACTGTCTTGATTTTCCAAGGAGCATGCCACTCAGGCTTCGCTTGCCTAACCACGTCCTTCCTGACCAGCGAACTGGATGTCTGATCTCTGTTTGGTGTAGGCCCTTGTGCGTTGGGGGCAGCGCCCTTTCCTCCAGCTCGTACTGCCAGCTGCATTGATTGCGCATCCCGCGCCTTATCAGCCTTTTCTGAGACTCCCTCAATCATCTTCTGCATCTTAGGATCAGAGGCCTTCTCCTCGGCGTTCTGCGCCTTGATCTTCTTGCGGCGCTCTGCTGCTGTGGATGCAGCGCTGGCCATCTTGGCCGCGAGAGCAGGTGGAAGTTCGCGGACGTGTTCGTATTCATTGCGAATGCGCGATGCGACGCCTGCTTGGTCGGCGGCGGTCGAAGGGGCCGGCGATGTGGGGTGTATGGAGAAGCTGCCGTTGGATGCATGATCTAATGCGGCGGATGAAGCAAATTCGGCGGCAAATATCTCCCGCGTCCGCTTCGAGGACATTCTTACGAGCTGCTCTGCCGTGCTGGGAGGTCGCGAAGCTGCCGTGTCGGCCATGACTGCGTTTGTCTGTTGGAGGATTTGATGGGTACAATGCAGAGCCACAGATACAGCGACTTAGGCGATGGGGATAGCGAGTATCAATAGAGAAAGCTCACGTATGGAGGCGTTTGGCTGTTATGCGAGGCCAACAGTTCGTCATGAACTTGGGAATCGCGACCGCCGACGGAAGTTTCACTAGCGCGCCTGGCTGGACTGAACCGAGCCAAGACCGAAGTAGATCTTATCTCATCTAATCTTTGTCGAACCTGGACAGCGTTGCTCACGCTTGATCTCGCAACTTCGGTTCCAACACTTGATGACATTTGTCCTTTCTATTATCCTGGGTTGTTCAAAAATCATGAGATGAATTTGCAAAAAACGAAGATTAATGCGTTGATGTCACGTCTTCGACTATATTCTCCTTGCTCTACGACATGCAGTACTGAAGAAGACTAGAGAACCTCTATCCAAATTCTGGCCAGCCAAGCAACTTATGTGTTGGAGATTATGAAACATTACTACATGTAGTGCTATATTTTTTGTTGAAACCTGATTTCTAGTGAGTCAAGTCCTCCCCACCTTGGGGTTCTATCAACAGCCCCTCTTGTTAGGATCAGTCGATTGCGTACATACACTGTGCTCATATCATACGATAGAACCCTCTTCCGACAATCTTTTTTATAAAATCAAAACATAAAACCCTCGAAAATTTAGGCCGAAAATGAGAAGTTGGCGTGTCTTCAATCATTTGTGATGGCCGAGACTTGTCGCTTGGTGCCAAAACTGGACAAGATGAAGGCTGAGTCCTCACATTATTGCAAGCTGGATAAAGATCATCGCTACATTTCACAGGCATGGTCTCTTGGGACTTGGTACGGGACTCGTCATCATGTGGTCCAGCAGACCGCTGCGCTTCGAAAGCTCGCATGAATGTGTATGCATATGCACATGTTTCCAGAGCGCGCAGGGATACGATTTAGAGTGCCACACACCTACCGCCGTCCAATCCTGCAACCCTGCGGCAAACATTGGGTAAACGGTGAACTCGCCTGTTGACATGCTGCTAGTTAACTCGATGCGCACTGTATAATGACCATTCGGTGTGTTGTCGCCGCGGGACTAGCTTTCAGAGACACTACGGCAGCTTTCAGCTGAGTCGCAAGGGCCTTCTCCATTGTCATAGTCTCAGGGACAAGGCTTGTTTCCCCAGATCTTCCAGGTTCTCCGCTTTACCGCTCCATTTTCCAAGGCGTCATGCTGGAAAGCAGCTGGACAGTGCCAGCACAAGCACATGCTGCCGAGGAACTTGAAGCCTCGCGCCGACCGAGCTATCAGATCTTTCCGTACAAGGAAGCTGCCTCCGCATGAGAATGACGCAGGAGCATACTACAAGGCTCGCTATTTAATGATCACGTTGCATCCGGCCTTGTGGTTGAGGACGGCGCCGCAAACCGAGTAGCGGCCCATTGATGCTTCTGAAGGAATATACTGTAGACTTGGAAAAACCAATGTGGCAAACCGGCGCAGGTACAACAGCAACAGAGGTGCTAGGCTCACGCCACTTAACCAACTCATCCGAAATTCTTCGACATGCGGGCTAGAGTATCGGACGCTCGGATGGCGCATGCCGATAGGTGGTGGGCCAGGTTTCTCAGCCATTTCCAAACGGCTTTAGCCAGAAAAGGATGGACATGGGCTGTCCCGGACGATTGACCAAGAATGGGCATTCGGGCTTGCGGGGCTGCGCCTGCGAATTCTGTTATTGTGTGTCGCATCTGCCGGCCCCCTACCAATGATCTTGTCGGTTTCGAAGGCTTGGTCCGCGAATGTTCTTTATTTCGCGCATTAGAGGTCGCCCCAAGCCAGGCATGGTTTGATGTGACGTTTGCACAAACACGCGCAGATGCCAATGCTGCCCCGGATTTCTATTGGCGCTAGTCCGTGCCACTGCCGCACCAATTCCAAGCCCCGGCCAACAGCCTGTAGTTGTCTTCACCCCAAAGGACCAGCCAGCCGCTCCAACATGCTTTTAGCCCCTGACCAGGCCACTAACAACAATGCTGTAACCCCTTGGTTACCCAATGACGTCCACCCGTCGCGTCCTCGGATCGTCGCTTGGCTCAACACAATACTACACACCTTGCTCGGGTGCTCGCCAGCAAGCACATGCCTCGAGGTCTAGGGGCTGACGCGGCAATGCGTTCCCTTCCAGTCGTCTGGAATTTCGGTCTGCTGCTGATCGTATCCTACCCGGTGCCTCTTCCTACCCTCATTAGATTTCGCCGTCTGTAGTCCCGTGCATGCAGCCGCAACTAATGCTCTAGTCTGGGGTATAGCCAGCTAGCGTTGCCAGATCGAGTCATATCTCCAGCATTCTTTCGATGATCTGGATGGGGGCAATTTTTCATATGTGACAAAGAGTAATGTGTGGAGCTAGAGCCTACTGATGTGCCAACAGGTTCCCTTGTTTGGACATGGGGCGCCTCACTACCCACTGCCATATAAAGAGTCTTTGATAACCTCCTCCAATGCTCATCGTGATCCTACTGTCTTTATAAACGCACTGTCAATCTTGAACAAATCCGTCGCTACTTCAACTTCAAACAACAGCCAAAATGAAGACCTTCACCATCGCCTCCATCGTCGCCTTGGCCTCTGTCGCCAGCGCTCAGCTCGACAACATCCCTCAGTGCGCTGTATGTCCATACTATGCAATGCCTCATTCAACGTACGCTTACTCACAATACTCAGCTTTCCTGCTTCATCGGTCCTCTCACCAGTGACGGCTGCGCGAACCTGACCGACTTTGCCTGCCACTGCAAGAAGGGTGACACGCTCCTTGCCCAGGTCCAGCCCTGCGTGCAGAAGGGCTGTGAGGCTGCCGACCAGGCAAAGGCTATTGCCGCCGTCGAGTCCACCTGCCAGGCTGCTGGTGTTCCCATCACCATCCCCGACACCGGCGCCCCTGCTCAGAGCAGCGCCCCTGCCGCCTCTGCCTCTCCCTCTGCTGCTCCAGCACCATCGTCTGCTGCGTCCGCGGCTTCTTCAGTTGCCTCAGCCGCCTCCTCAGTCATCTCATCCATTGTGGCATCCGGCACTCCAGTGCCCATGCCCACCCCCATCTCTACCGGTACTCCATCTATGACACCCTCCGGCTCTCCCTCTGCCTCTGGCGCTCCTACTTCTTCCGTCTCTCAGTTCACTGGTGCTGCTGCCCAGGCCACCCAGGCCGTCGGTATCATCGGTGCCGCCGCCCTTGCCATGCTCGCTTTGTAAATTACTACCATGTCTTCTCTGTATTGACATTTTGATATGAAACCGGGCTGTTATGGATACGGATGGAAATGGTAATGAAGGTGTCATGGTACGACGATGGGATGTAGTTTGGGTTTGCTTTGTTTGTATATCACCAAATCAGAAAAAGTGAATAATTCAGATACCACTTAATGTCTACGCATATCTTCTTGTCCTTTCATTTTTCGCGTGTTGTGATTCCTTTTTCTGTTTTTGAATAGTATCGTCCAAGTATTTCCATGACTGCTGTGAGTTGGGTTGTTCGGTCGTATGCGTTGTCCTGCTTCCCCCCCTTTTTTTTAATTGGCAGCAATTAATGTAATCTTTTCAAAAACACGCACAGTGTACATTATTTTCTTTTTCTCGTTCAAGATAACATAGCACCGACTTTGTAGGTCCTGCTAACTAGCTTCAGACGCTGACATAATGTTTCGAGCACGTGATAAATCTCACCGTACAGAGCGTAGGGATGTGTTAGGTATCTAGAAAAAGTAATCAATTCATGAATGCGATGAATTCATCATGGAAAACTCTTTCCATCAAAAGTCGTATATTTCATGATTGATTTAACGAAACAACGTACACAGTCACCTTGTCCTGAAGTAGAAGATATGATGATGAGCACAGAGTAGTTGTCCTCCAGTGACCAACCAATACTCCAGCGAGACATACTGACCAAAAAAATCACTAGAAAACTTGAGATGGTGTCAAGTCTGGTATAAAGACTGACCCTGGTGAATACGGTATACGCCGGATCGACGTCAGTGGCCTAAGCTCCGAAGTGGGCTGTCCAGAACACCAAGCCTCCCGCATCTTCGGTCACCGCACCCAAGATGCCGAACCGGGCGCCGCCAGCACGAGTATGGCCACTGTGAAGCGCAGAGACTTTATTCTTGCTGCCGTCGCAATATTCGTCGCCTGGGGTTATCTGACTCACTGGCAGCCCAAGCTGCACTACCTCCCCTACGCCTTCGTCACCGGAGCACTTGCGACGCTCGCACTGCTGGCATGGCTCACCTTCACCACCGCCTGGGACAGGGACCTACGACGCGGCGGAAATGTCGACTATGGGCCGCGCCATGTTGCCTTTGTGGCGCCGGACAAGTGGAAGGCTGAGAGGGAGGCTCTGGACAAGAGGAACATGTACATGATGGAACCGCTATACCCCGCGTCCTATATGATATCAGACAGCCTCGATGTCCTGATCGGCCTGATACTGCGCGATTTCGTAAAAAGCTGGTATGGGAGTATCAGCAAGAGCCCGACATTCGTACACGAGGTCGACAAGGCAGTGCGTGCAGCCATGGGCGAGATACGGGAACGCATACTGGCAGTAGATATGGTCGAGATGGTCGTGTCGCGCATAATTCCTCTCATCACTGACCACCTGAAAGCGTCGTACGAGGCCGAGCGTGTGGTTCGAGGGCGCAAGCTGTCGCGCAATATCACAGATTCAGAGGAGCTTGATCTTGCCATCGCAGCCAAATACAAAGAGGGTCGGTTGCACCCTGCTGCGTCTTTGGCATATTCAAACACCAAACCAATACAGCAGCAACACTTGAGGAGCATAGTCACGCGACTCCTACCAAAGATCATGCCTGCCAATATGTCCACAAGCCCGGCTGTCAATGTACTCATCAAAGAGATTGTGGCTTGTGCAGTCCTGTCGCCCGTGATGCACATGCTTGCTGACCCCGATACATGGAATCAGCTCATGGAGGGCTATGTAAGATTACTTCTCATCTAGCATTAAACATGCTAATAACTCTAGGGCCGGACTTTGCTGCAAGAAAGAAAGACGGTACGCAAAGTACGAGCTGCCCTCGACGAACACGCCCCGCCTGCACAAAAGACAACCAAAAACGCGCAGTTCCCTAAACTCTTGCCTAGCGATAACGAACGGAAATTCGAAAGGTTCATGCGAGCAATACAGCAAACAAACACGCTTGCAGATGCTAGGCGTTTTCGTAGTGAGATCGCAAGCCAGCTACGTAAAGATTCGATGATTGAAGGTCAAGACCCCGTCTATTTGCGTCGTCTTGAGTCGGCACGTCATGTGCTCGATACAAAGGTCGCGACGCTTAGTGCTGGTGGATCGGTTCGTGCAAAAGTCACAGCCCAGGAAGCCCCAAAGCACAAGCGTTCGTCCTCCAAGTTCGCCAATGCATCTTTGCGCGAAGTGCTGTATGACGCGTCAGGTCTTTCGTGCTTCATGGAATTCATGGATCAGACGGACCTCATGCGACTAGTGCAGTTCTGGCTTGTTGTAGATGGATTTCGTAACCCGTTGGAAGTAGAGACTGAGGAAAGCCAGGACTATGTTGGTACACTTCCCACGTGGACGGAGTCGGATCGCGCAGATCTGGCGCAGATCCACGAGGCATACTTGTCTAAGCCTGAACTCAAGATTCTCCCGGAAGCCCGCCGAGCGGTTGCAGAATTTCTCAAGGCTGGGCGGAAAGCGACGCCCCAACAATATCACAATGCACGGCGTTCCTTATTGCAAGCGCAAACGGCAGCATACGAACAGCTACAAGAGCCTTATTTTCGACGGTTCAAGAAATCAAACCTGTACTACAAGTGGCTGGCCATGGACGAAGCAGCGAATACCGACAACAGTGCCGGAAAGGCGAGAAGCATGACGCAACCTATCGAGGCCTCATCTTCAGTGACACCCTCAGTGTCTCGGACGCATTCAAGACAAAATAGTTCGTTGTATGCACCACAAGGAGATCTGCGTCGGGCAGTTGCATCCTCTTCAGATCTGAAAAGTCAAGCATCAGCCAATATCATCGAGCCACCTGCACGACGCTCCTTGGACGTAGCGCCATCTACGTTGAAGCGAGCACCTCTGTTTGGCGATGACTATGACTCTGATCCCCTTGCACATTCCACTGCAAGCTTGAATTCCGACTTTGGCTATGAGCGAACTGGTGGAAATGATGCAAAGGTTGTGGATGCCATGCAGGCTGCTCTGACTGACATCATGGATGAGCCAGAGGGGTCCATTTTCTATGAGCCGGGTCTAAAATCACCCGTGGATAATGACTCAATGCGTGGCTCTCTTGATCTACCTCGGGCGTTGTCACCTAATCCGCAAGGAAAAGAGAGTCTCAAGCCGAGCATAGCATCGCTCGGCCTAGTTGGAGAACCCAGGACCCGTGGCGTATTCAACGACGATCTGTTTGGTGACGAGCAGAAATTCTTAGAAGATGAAGTCGATGACCCAATATCGAGCGAAAAGGCGGATGACGAAGAGATACACGAAGCTGCGCCGGGAGATCTGGGGTTAGCGGAGGCGATTGATGCTCTTACAGCCGATATCGAGCGTTTGGTGACACAAGAGTCTATTGTCGATTCGCTGACATCAAAGGCCGAGTTGACCAACAATGCCGCCGAGCTTAGAATCTTGCGCAAGTCCAAAGCTAGCTTACAGCGAGAGATTCAGCGAAAAGAACTCCAACGGCAGCAGTACATTGTGCAGGAAAGTGACAACAGTTTGTACGGGCGTGCAAATGTGTTCATACAATCAATCATGGTGGGCACAGAAGAGGACGGCAAGGACTATGCCATGTACGTTATTGAAGTCCGACGACGCGCGGGCGACCAAATGCCTGCAGCAACTTGGGTCGTCTCGCGCCGGTACAGCGAGTTCCACGAACTGAACAAAAGGCTTCGTGCAAAGTTTCCCCAAGTTCGGAACCTAGAGTTTCCACGCCGCCAGATGATACTCAAGCTTCAAAAGGACTCATTGCACAAACGACGAGTTGGTCTGGAAAAGTACCTGCGAGAGCTCCTGCTTATCCCAGCAGTGTGCCGCAGCCGTGAATTTCGAGCATTCCTCTCTCAAGCTGCGATTAGTCCTGCCGAAGCGCTTAAGAATCAAGATCCAAACTCGAATGATTTCGTGACCCGCATCTACAACTCCGTCGCAGACGGCATGGAAGAATTTCTCGGCAATATCCCCGTCCTCGACCAACTCTCCGTAGCAGGCCAAAACCTCATCTCTGCAGCCACCACGCAGCTCGCCCACACCAACGGCGCGACCGCCCAACCCACAAGCCTCGCCTCCTCCGGCGTCCTCGTAGCCGGCGAGCCCAATCCTGACGCTGAGGCGGAAGCCGAACTCCTCGCCTTCGAAAACAAAGAACTCGAGCCCTTCGTCAAACCAATCTGCGACCTCTTCCTCGAAACCTTTGAGCTCAACCGCGAAAATAACTGGCTCCGTGGCCGCGCTGTAGTCGTCGTCCTGCACCAGCTCCTCGGCGGCACCATCGAGCGCAAAGTCCGCGAGTCCTTTGGCAACCTCCTTTCCGAAATGAACATAGCTCAGTACATTGATGCGCTCAAAGATAGCATGTGGCCCGATGGCCGCATGAAGGCTGGTGTGGAGCGAACGACGCAGGACAAGGAGCGGAGTAGGAAGGCGGCGAGTGATGTGCTTAGTACGCTTATACCCGAGTTGGCGAGTAGTGTCGTTGGGAGACAGAATGCGCAGTTGGCGGCGAAGAAGTTGGAGGGGACGGTTAATAATGGGCGGTTGAAGTAAGTTTTTTTTCTCCTCCTTTCTCTCTTTAAAGATGTGAGATGGTTTGGATAAATGCTAATGATGCTTGTAGCACCCATCTTGTTTTCACGCTACTAGACGAAATTCTACATGTCTTGTTTCCGGATGTTTATACGAAGTAATGTATATAGATGTGTGTGATAGGGGAATGAAGGTGTATTGCATCACTGGCGTTTAAGCAAGGGTGGATTCAATTTGCTTGAGCTTGGATTCAAGCATCGTATGACAACGTTTGGGCGTTAGAGACATATTGACAATTGACTGTGTTCCATTCGTATAAAAGCCTGCGTGTCTCAAGCCTCGCTCGTCCATTATACCATATACATAACAGATACCCCGAAACATTCTCACTCTGAACTTCCCACCCCCATAACACCTCTACCAAACCACTCACTAATAACCGCAAACCCATCTC